GGGCAAGTTCGAGTTCTCGCGCAAGGACCTGATTGGACACGGCGCCTTCGCGGTGGTCTTCAAGGGTCGCCACCGCGAGGTGGGTGATCACGTACGCAGTCCGGGACCCCAGCCCAACACCTTACCTCCGTAGAGGGACCCAGTTCAGGACCCCAGCCCCGGAAACCCACCTGCTACTCTTATCTCCAGAAACCAGGAGACTCCAACCCAGGATTCTCTAGCTTTGAAGAGTCAGACCAGTCCTGGGAACCTAGCCTGGGACCCCATCCGCTTAGATTCCTGGCCCAGCTGAGAGAGCCTACCTACTTGCCTCTGGCATCCTCCCATCCATCCCAAGACCCTTGGAACAGCCAGCCTAGGCAGGCCATCAGTGTGTACCCAGCTTGGGGGGCAGAGGGAAGGGATGTTCTCAGCCCTGAAGAACTACGTTTGGCTTTTTCAGAAGCACGACTTGGAGGTGGCCGTCAAATGCATTAACAAGAAGAACCTCGCCAAGTCCCAGACACTGCTGGGAAAGGAAATCAAAATCCTGAAGGTGAGCCAGAGCCTCGGGGGAGTGGGAGAGGGTGGGTCTTGGAATGGAAGACACCTCTTATCTCACTTGGATTTGTGTCCTAGGAACTAAAGCACGAAAACATTGTGGCGTTGTATGACTTCCAGGTAAGGCCGGGAGTTTGCTGCTGTGGGGCTTGGGGGAGGGGCGATGTCATTCTTGCAGGTGACCCATTCACCACCTCAGGCTCTGGGTTGTCCCGTGCTGGATCCCCCAGTGGACAGTTGATGGCTCTAGACTAGTATGGTATAGGTGAAAGGAGCAGAGGTTCTGTGTGTGGTGTATCTGTCTAGCGCAGCTCAAGCCCTACAGGGTACTGGAGACCCCATCTGTGGTCCAAGTTTGTCCTGGCATTTCCTACTTTTTGGGGAAAAAGTCTGTTGCCTGAATGGGGAAGGAAGGCGTCCATAAACACTAGTGTTGGATTTCTGGCAATTGTATTGTTCTGATCGTGTGTGGTTTGGGTTTTGTGTGCCCTGGTGCTGACCCAGTGGCCCTTACTGCATCTGGTGTCCCTGGCAGGCCCACCTGTCTGGGCTGGCGGGTTTGTTTGTTGACATTGCTTCAGCGGCCTGGCATTGGCCAGCCTACTCCTGCGTCAGAGACTGGGAGGGGGAGGGGCTGCTGGAGATTCCTTCTTGCCGGCAGTTGGGGCTGGGCCCACAGGATCCAGCAGCAGGATGCCGCTGTCTCACTGGCAGTCTCAGCAAACAAACCAGCTGACCAGTCAGACTCAATGCTGCACTCCAGGTCCTCAGCCCAGTGGTGGCAGAGGCTGGAGGCCCTGGATGCCGCGTGTGGGCACCAGGAACCCTAGGTGCTGGTTCCTGAGCAAAGTGCTGACTCATGATTTTGAAACATGTTTACTGGGGCCACGGGACCAGCCCTGGCCAAGGGAAGTTCCCAGCAGGCAGCTGTGTTTTGGTGGCCTCCTACCCTCCCTTCCTTCCTTCCTTCCCCTGTGCCTCTTCCAGCTTTACCTTGGGGACTGTGACTTGTCATAAGGTGACCTGTGGAGAGGTCCTAGGTCCAATGTGACAGGGAGTACCTGGCAACAGCTGGAGACATTGTGTTCTGGGTCCAGAAGGTTGTCCTTCTGCCATCTGCCTTACATCCCTTCCCCAGGCTTCTTCCTCCCCCTGTCCTGGTGTTGTAGGCAGGGCCACATCAGTACAGTTGATGTGTTTGTTGGAGGCTCCAGGGCTGAGTAGATGATATGACCTTCGTAGGGACTGACTCTGGCCCTTGTAATCCTATCCAGGTTCCCACAGTTCCATGCCTGGGCATTTCCATGGTTGTCTTCCTAGAACTGAATTGATAGCTGGTTAGGTTCACTGCAGACTTGAAGCCTGTCCCACTCTTAGTCGAGCCACTTTGTTGAGGACCTCTGCCATTTATTTCCTCCAGTGCTGGCAAGGCTGTGGCTTCCTCTGCCCAAAGGAAGTGCTGAGAAATGTCAGTCCCTGGGTTCCGGGGCCTTTCACCCCATGGCCTGGGGGGTTGTTGCTGTGTGTCCTTGATATTTGTTTAAGATACACACTTTGACCAGAGAAGAAGATGATTTGGACAAGAAAGCTCTCCAATACTGTAGAAGGGATTGAACAAAATATTGTAGTCTTTCTCCAGGCCCTGAGCAGATAGAGGCCTGCTGCCCTTTCTCCTCTTAGGCATCCCCACAGTTTTTGGGTTGCTCCCTGGAGATGTGTACCTTTCCCACCATAGGACCACCTGCACTGTCATCCATGGTCTCTTGGAGAAGGCAAGAAGCCTCAGTTTCTTTTCACACACTGTCTCACCTGGCCTGAAGAATCACATGGCTCCTTATTAGAATGACAGCTTGCAGCTGGTTCAGAGCTGGTCTGCAGGGAAGTAGTTAACTGGGTGGCAGCTCTGTCAGGGCACAGTTTGAGGCACTGGGAGCACAGGTGGGATTTGCTGCTGCCTCTGTTGCTGTGGTGGTTATTATGTAAGGCCATGTAGTGCCCAGGCTTCAGCTAACTGTAGTTCATTTTACTAGCCTAACACAAGTTATTCTGGGATTCTGGCAAGTCAAAAATATGGTCATGACTGTCCTTGGGCTCTTTGGCTAGGATGGATATGTAGATGGATTCCTAGAAGTTGGAGCCCTGGGCAAGAGTGTACATACTGAGTGACTGTTGTCAAATTGCCCACCAGAGACACAATGCCCGTGGTCATCTAAGGTTGTATTGGCTCATACCTCATCTTCTCAGTCAAATCTTACTAGTGGTTTTTTTTTTTTTTTCAGATTTCTGTATATATATGTGAGTGTGTGTCACGTGTGTGCTGGTGCCTTCAGAGGTCAGAAGAGGACATCAAAGCTTTTGTAGCTGGAGTTATTGGCAGTTTTGAGTTGCCTGAGGAGGGTGCTGGGTCTTCTGAAAGAGCAAAATATGCCCCCTTTTTACAAATATATCATTTATCTTTATTTTATGTTCATTGGTGTTTTGCCTGCATGTATGTCTGTGTGAGACTATCAGAAACCCTGGAACTAAAGTTACAGACAGGTGTGAGCTGTCATGTGAGTGGTGGGTATTGAATCTGGGTCCTCTGGAAGAACAGGCACTCTTAAACTGCCTAGCCATCTCTCTAGCCCCAGCAAAATAATATGTCTTAGCTGCTCTGAGATCTCATAATCCTCATCTTGAGTAATGGTAAACACTCATGTTGGAAGCAGGGTTCAGGAATCATGCCCTGAGCCCTGAAGCCTGTCTCTGGGTGTTGCTTTGCTATGTACTTCTATATGAGACCATCAGCAAGTTCCCTCTCCACGCCTGTGTTTTTGCCTATAAAAGACCTGGGTCTGTGGTGACAGTTTCTTATAGCTGTTCCTACTTGGTACTATCTATACAAATAATTTTGTTGTTTTTTAAGACTGGGTTTCTTTGTGTAGCCTTGGCTGTCCTAAAATTAGCTCTGAAGACTTGGCTAGCCTCACAGAGATTGGCTTGCCTCTGCCTCTTGAGTGCTGGCTGGTATTAAAGGTATGCACATCATCCTGTTTATGTAAATGCTTTTTGTAAAAGAAAGGAGTTCTGTGACAGGTTGCACGTGGGTGTGTCCTTCCCCTTGTTTGTTTTCTTTTATTCCTTTGAGCGGAGGACTCATCCTAGCATTGGGCTAGCCTGGTGCTCATTGTGTATGCAGTCTGGCCTCAAACACCTGGCAGAAGCAGATTAAGGGAGGAGTTTATTTTGGCTACAGGTTCTAGTTCATCATAGCAAGAAAGGCAGGGTGGAGTTCATGGCAGTGGGAAGATGATTGAGCTCACAGACCATAAGTGTCCTGGCTATAGCTGTTGTGATTCTGTAAGTTTAAAAATCGAGTGATGGAACACAAACGGTAGAGTACATTAACCATAGAGTTTTATTACCAGGCAGGAGATTGAGAAGGGGAGAGAGAAAAATGGAAGAACAGCAGAGCAGAGAGTAAGAGAGAAGAATTAGTGGTCAACCACCGGAAACAGAGAGAGAGAGAGAGAGAGCAAAGAGCCATGAAGGGAGAGAGAGAGTGAGAGAGCAAAGAGAGGAAGGCAAGAGAGACTAAATGGACAGGTGTCTGTCTTTTAAAGGGGTCCTTTACACCTGCGTGCAGACTTAGTTCCCATGGAACCCTGGGATGACCAGGGTACTGCCAGGTAACAGGGCCAGGCCAGCGTAATGCCTGAACCTTTCAATAACCTCTACCAGCCATGAGGGTTTCACAATGCCACCAGTTGGGGACCAAGTGTTCAAACATGTGGAACCATAACACCTGGCTAGATATAGGGAGCACTTCTAACCTCAGCACTTGGGAGGCAGAGGCAAGCAGATCTCTTGCTCCAGACCAGCCTGGTCTACATAGTGAGTTTCAGGTGAGCTACATAGTGAGATCATGTCTCAAATACAAAACAAAAAGCCTTAACACTGGCTTTTTTATTCTTTGGGTAGTGCTGGTAGTTGAACCTAGGATCCTGAGCATGCTTACCTCACAGTCCCTGTACTTCTGAGTCTACCAGAAGTTTGAGGGGGCATCTGGATGGAACACATGGCTCTCACCAATGGGCTCTCTCCTCATCCAGCATTTGATGTCTGGACTTGTTCTTGCTCTGGCATATTGGGCACTGCCAGAGGTAGGCTCAGTCCTTGCCTGCCTTACTATTGATGATTCCCTGGAGACTAGTACGCTGTCTGGCAGGTTCTCTGAACCCCTACACCTTGCCATGTTGCCCAGAGGTGACTCACCTGGACCTTGTAGACAGACCAGCTCTCTGGGTTAGGGGAGTGTCTGTATTCATCACTGGCCTGTGATGTGGGTTTGGTCATGACCTTCCCACCCAGAGTGGAGCTAGTGTTTGTCAGATGGACCCAGGATTCAGATTCAGATAAGACTGTAGTCTGTAAGCCTACAAAATAGAATGTTCTCTCTCCCTCCCTCCCTCCCTTCCTTACTCTCTGTTTTTTTATTTTGTTTTTGTTTTTTTGAGACAGATATATCCTTGATTGGCCTGGAGCTCACTGTGTAAAACTAGGCTGGCCCTGAATTCATAGAATTCTGCCTGCCTCTGCCTTCCCAGTGCAGGGATCAAAGGCATGTGCTACTACACCCACCAGCCACCACACCCAGCTCTTTGTCTTTTGAATAAAGGTCTCCTGTAGCCCAAGGCTAGCCTTAAACTCCTTGCATTTTTTAAATCTCCATCTTCCTCTAGATTAAAGGCATACAGACTTTCAGGCTTTAAAGACTTCTAAAGGGTTTCAGACTTAATTTTGATATATATCTTTAGCTGACTTTGAACTTGTGGTCCTCCTGCCTCATTCTACTAGGTGCTGGGATTACAAGTGTGCACCACCTTGCCTAGCTTGTTCTGTTTTTTATTTTAAATTATTTTATTTTTATTTCTATGGATGTTTGCCTGTATATCTGTGCACCACTTGCATGCCTGGTGTCCCTGAAGTCGAGAAGAGGGGGTTGGATCCCCTGGAACTGGAATTACAGGTGGTTGTGATGTGGGTCCTGGAAATGAAACCCTGGTCCTCTGGAAGAGCAGCTAGTGTTCATATTAAACACTGAGCCATCTCTCCATCTCTTTATTTAACACACTTTTTTT